CTTGGTGTCGTCTGCAAATTTGATGAGTTCCCCATCTATCCCCTCATCCAAATCGTTGATGAAGATGTTGAAGAGCACTGGGCCCAGAACAGAGCCTTGGGGCACCCCACTACACACTTCCCTCCATGTAGATGTGGTTCCATTGAGGACCACTCGCTGAGTACAGCCGGTCAGCCAGCTACGGATCCATCTGGTGGTGGATCATTATTGCTGTGGTGGATTATTATTGCTATTATTATTACAGTTAAGAGGGTGGATGAACATAACTTTAAGGTGTGTTCTTTCAAGCCATGTGTTTCATGTGAACTTTGCCCTTATGGTTGGTTAACCAGTTTGGGGTCAGGGCAAATTGTGTGAAGCAGCCTTCCTGTTATAGTATGACTTTGTTTCCAAAAAGCAAGCACTGAAAAACAGGAATTGAGCATCCTAAGCCAAGGTCATTTCCTTGGGATTTCATTTGATGTGAACTCAACCTTCATGGCATCGTTAGAATGTTGTTCCTTCCCAGGATGATTTCACTCAGTATTATTCCATGTTAGAGTCTTCTTCCTTTTCCTCACTATGGCTCCTGCCAAAAGGTAAACTTCTCTTTCTTGGGATGAGCCATTTTTGGAACTTCCTCCTTTTCTCTTCTCTATGGCTCCAGTTACTTACAAACGCACAAACTTAAAAATAGGAGTGAGAAACATCCTTAATACTGGTAAATGTCTAATGCCTAAATGTCTCAATATGAAGCACAAGAAACATGTCAAAATTCTGTATTTCATCCCAGTTTCTTAAGCACCCTGAGTTCTGGCATCTTGTATGATCCCTAAATGTAGGGTATATATGATCGTAAATGTGAAAAAAAGCTAACTTGCCCTTCGGGGGAAAAAGAAATCCACCAAATATAAAACACTTGTTTTATAATCCAATATAAAATATTCCATGTCTTGATGTAATCTAGGCCCATATTTGATGGACAGATAGACAGACACACAAATACCCAGAAGATCCATGTACTTAATACCATTGCAATCCTTTACCAGCTTCTCTTTCATGAGGATGAATGTTGTTCAGTGGTTAAGTCCACCACCTTCTCATTCTTTGAATTTATTTTCTTTTCCATCTCAGATGAAGAAACTAGAGGCATCTCAACAACTTTCCTAACAACAAAAACTCTTGGGCAAAGAGCTTGGATAGCCTTTGTGGTCAGTTCTGCAGCTACCAGAATATTCCTATGAATTGAAAGGTGTTTGGAGATCCACAAGATTCCTCCAACCTATCTGGAATTTCCTTACAGGACAGACAAAGGATGCAGAAACAACCATTAGCAAGTGAGGGAACTGGAAAAGACCCCTCTGCTGTTGAGCCTGGCAGCTGTGGAAAGATCTGGGCAAGACCTGGGTAGAAGGTCTTGGAGAAGAAAACCATCATCCGTTCAGAGATTCAGTCCTGGAACTTCAGAAACATCCAGTACCAGGAAACTGAAGATCCCCGAGGACTCTGCAGCCGACTCCACAACTTTTATAGTCAGTGGCTGAGGTTAGAAAAGCACAGTAAAACCCAAATGGGGGACTTGGTTGTCCTGGAGCAGCTGCTGGCCTTTCTGCCCCCACAGATGGAAAACTGGTGGCGGGAGTGTGGAGCAGAGACCAGCTCCCAAGCAG